TGTGATTAGGGAGATGGTAAGTTCCTGGAAGGAACTGTGGAAGGGGAAATCATGATAAAAAATATACTATATAATTTTTTCAAAAAAGTAAAATAAAAGGAACATAAAAGTTGAAATCAGTCCATTTCCCTTCTCTGGTATTCTTGTTTCTATTAAATTTAACTTTACTTTCATTTTCCAAGCTTAAAAGAATTGACCATGCCTTGATACATTGAAGTTAAATAATTTCTCCCAAGTCTCTTTAATTCAGCTTCCATCTAGGTTTAGCATTAGGATGAGGGTATAAAGATGTTAGGTCTCCAAAATAGAGGCTCCAAAATGGCAGTGGTGATGGCAAGATTTTAGGGTGATGACCCAGGTTTCACTAGAGCCCAGTCTTGCTTGGAGAAACAGAAATGTGAAGTATTTCTCAGAATGCTCTCCCTCACGTGCAAATAGTAGCCTATAATGTATATGTGTATATAAGTAAACAGGTGTAAGTGTAGGTAAAGTCAAAAGAAAGGATTTTTTGAAAAGCACTTAGATTAACCCAGGAAATAACCTGAAAAACTGACATATGAGATAAAATGAAATTAAAATGCTTTTACCTTGCAAGAAAATAAACACCAGAATATAAGACAACCCATAAATGGGAGAAAAATCCTTGTCAGAAATACTTCAGATAGTTGATTCATATTGAGAATGTATTAAAAAATTACAAAATTAAATGCCTCAGACTCCAAATTTTCAAGTATTAAATGAAATAATGAGCCTAAGACATAGACCTCACATGAAGAAATAAAATTGTCAGTTAAACCTAAAATCATATTTTTTGATATTTATGTATGTATCTAATGTGTTTCAATCAAATCTACTCCACCATTTTCTCCTCTCCAATTCTTCAACCCGTACTACCTTTTCCTATCACCTTCATGTATTGCCTTATTTTTTTCTTTTAAATACAAACTGAGTCCATTTTTTCTGGCTCTAAATACAATGATGTGGGAACTTGGGTACCCTCTCAGAGCCCACATACCTGATTCAAAAGAGCGACTCTTCCCTAGCAGCCACCAACTGCTAATAGCTTCTCACAAGGAGATAGGACTTCCTGAGCCTCTCCCCATCCACACTGAGAGTTTTGATAGCTTAATTTTGTCCAGGGTTGGCACATGTAGCCCAAACCACTTTGACTTCATGTGTGCAACTTCACTGTTGTAGCCAATAAGTACTGTGTCGCTGCAGACAACTCCTTCTCTGGCTCTTACAATATCTCTGTCCTCTCTTCCACAATGTTCCTGACCCTTGTGGGCAGGAGATGAAATATAGATGCACCATTTAGAGGTCAGCACTCCTCATTTTTTCATTCACTGCATGTTGACTGGTTCTGGATCTCTAAATCTGCATCAACTAGAACCTTCTCTGCTGATGGTTGAGAGATGCATTAATATTAGTATAAAGATAAGAGGTCAGGGATCAGCTTACTACTGTGTCAATTCTGTAGACCAAACACTGACAAAATCTAACTTAGGGAAGAAACAGTTTATTTGGCTTACAATTGCTGACCACAGTGCATCACTAAGTGAACTAAGGATTTTTTTTTTTTTTTTTTTTTTTTTTGCCCAATTACCAATACCAGAGTATAGGTTCCATATTGTGGAGTAGGTGTTAAATCCAATCAGAAAGTGGTTGGTTAGTGTCAAAACATTAGTGTTGCCATTGAACAGTGAGAACAGTGAGCATATATGGCCAAGCTAGTTTTTATTATAGCTGAGAGTTCACAGCGGGGTAAGGTTGTTTTATATTTCTCCCTCTATATCAGGCACAGCACCTTCTAGTACTGTGAAAGCTAGCCACTAGGGATGCTGCTGATAGACCAGTTCCAGCTTGATTTCTGATGTAATTATGACTTGAGTATCTGGTGCCTTCACCAATAGGGTCTTATCATGAAGTTCTTGAGGGTAATCAGAAGTAATGGCAATGCCTTTTAATGTTTAGGAGGTTTCATATGGTCTCACTGACAAACAGCTTGGAAAAAAAAAGCTCATACCTGGCACTGGGCTTTATAATTGAACTTATGGTGTTTGGGGAAGCACTGTCTCCCTTATAGTGTAACACCATTTAAACTGATTTATAGGTGTATATCTACACATTTTAGGGTGCTTCTACAATAGGTAGTTTCTATAAGGCATTTTAAAGGGGTGTTAGTAATTTTTTTCCTTCTCATATTCCCTTCCCTACCTTGATTTCTTATTCCTCTATACCATTTACCCCTTCATACTACCTGTTTTCTTTCTTACCTCCCTTCAAAGCTCACCCTCCTAGCCCCTTACTACTGTTGTATCTTCTATGGGTACTTCAATGTAATCATACTCATTTGAAGATTCAAAGCTAGCATCCACATAGGACATGGAACATGGGGCATTAGTTATGCTACAGAGCTGTAGAAATAAAAACAACATGGCATCACCATAAAAACAGACACATTGATCAATGCAATAAACTGAGAGTGCAGATATAAGCCCACTCTCCTACAGCTTCCTGATTCTTGACAAAGAGGCCATAAACACTGGAGACAAGATTACATCTTAAATAAATGGTTCTAGGCAGAAGAAGGAAGTTAGATCATTATCTCACCCCTACACAAAATTCAATCCTACATGGATCAAGGACCTCAGCATCAATTCTATGTCCTACTTTGCTTCTATTACTGTGATAAAACACTAAATGAAACCAACTTGAAGAAGAACTAAATTATTTGTCTTCTGATTTCTGTTCACAATCTATTACTGGGCAAATTAAGCAGGGACCTAGAGGCAGGAACTGAAGCAGAACCATGGAGCCTGGCTGCATATTGGCTTGTTCTTCTTCAACACTTGCTAAACTTGTGTTATAATGCATCCTAGGGTCAACAGTCCAGGAGTGACAATGATAACCATAGCATTGGCATATCTATATGAATCACTATTCAAGAAACGGCCCCATAGACACACACCCACAGGCCAATCTGATAGAGGTAATCCTCAAATTGAGATTCTTTCCTACCATAAGTCCGTAGTTTGTGTTTAGTGGACAATATTTAACCAGCACAACCTGATATTCTAAATATAATACAGGAGAAAGTAGGAAACACACTTCAATTTATCACCACAAGAGAGGACTTTGTGAACAAGAACTCTGGTATCACAGACATTAAGATGAAAATTGACAAATGCAACCACATGAGACTAAAAAGCTTTTGTATAGCAAAGAATACCATCATCACAGTGAAGAGGAAGAATGGAAAAAAGTATTTACCAGATTTAAATCTGACAGAGAGTTACTGTCTAGAATATATAAAGCACAAAAACTAAACACAAAGAAAACAATCCCAATAAAAATGGGGCATGGAACTAAACAGAGAGTTCTCAGAAAAAGAAATACAAATGACCAAGAAATGTATTCTTTAAAATGTTCAATATCCTTAACCACCAGGAAAATGCAAAGTAAAACTACTTTGGACTTCACTATAAAATAGCCAGAATGGCCAATGTCAAAAATACAAATCACAACACATGCTGGTGAGGAATTTGGGAAAGAAGAACACTTTTCCATTGAGAGTGGGAGTGCAAACTGTTGCACTCTATAGCTGCAAACTATAGGAATCAATGTGACTCTTCCTCAAAATGATAGAAACAAATATACCACATTTCCTCAAGATGTTGGAGATGTCTGAGGCACTAGGCATCTGCCAAGGGAGCTGCATACACAGAATGGAAGGAACAGTAAGTGAGAACTGGATGTTACAGGCAGCAAAGCTGGAGGTCTGGAGTCAAGAACCTCCTTTGTGTCTGAAGCCTCATACACCAGAGACAGAGCTACAGGATTTGGTATTTTCCCTGATAGATTTCTGTCTTGCTTTGCTCTACTCTTTCCTCACTATACTTCCCTACCTCCCATTTTGAAATGGGAACTTACATTCTGTGTCACTGTCGGAGATATGTAGTCCTTTTATAAATTTTTATTTTTTGTCATTATTCACTGGGTCAAAGTTAAGAGTTTGTCTAAAGTCTCAGAATTTACTTATACTTTGGAGTTTTAATCAATGTTGAGACCTTTAGATAGTATGGAAATTTTTCGTGTTGGACTAAATGGGTTTTATGTTATGATATAGCCATGAGACTCGGGTGGTCTGAGTTAGAAAACTGTGTTGAATTAGAAATGGTCCATAGGCTTATATATTTGAACATTTGGTTGGTAGTTGGTGCCACTGTTTAGAGGAGGTATGAAAATTCTAAGACATACCTCATTCCTTAGCCTATGTAGCTCTGCTCTAAGAAGTATAACATTAGAGCCAGGCTTGATAGTTTATAGCTCCATCTTCTTACAATTCACACTCTCTGTTTCCTGTGTACAACTGAGATGTCATCTCTCAGCTCCTTACTCCTGCTTCTAGTTGCTGTGCTTCTAGAGATGAAACCCTAGACTTCTGGAACCTTTGCCAAAACAATCTTTTTCTTATGCAAATAGCTTTTGTCCCAAGGTATTTTTTATCCCAAGAGCAGAAAATAACCTCATATAATATGGTAGTATCACATATTACTGGGACAAAATCAATTTAAGCAGAGTTCTAGCTCATGGATTAAGTTCAGAGTGGGGGAAATTATAGACACTGGAACTTGAGCCAGATGATCTCACCACATTGTTGGTCAACAAACAGAGAGCAATATATGGTCAGTGCTCAGGTAACTTTCTCCTTTTTGCACAGCTCAGGAAAAGGTACTTCCCAGTTAGGAAAGGTTTTCCCACCTCCATTAATCTAATCTTTATCATCTCTCCCAGGCATAGACTAATGTAATCTAAAATTACCTTTCACTGATAATCTAGAGTTGGGTCTTTTAGGTGATTCCAGATAATGTCAAACTGACAATCATTGTTGAACATTAGCCTTGATTACCTGAACACCATAATGTAATTCCATGAATGATTCCTTCTCAGACCTACATGCAACACCAGGTTTTTAATATTTTATAGTCTTTATTTTATGGAAAATCTTGTTTATATACTATATTTTGATATTGTTTCTCCACCTTCCCCAATTCTTTGCATGTTCTCCCCATCTGTCTAACCACACAATTTTTATTTTTCTCTCTTTCAAATAAGCACACACATAAACAATAAAAATAAGAAATACATGAGAACCACAACACTCCCAACTCCAAGAATAAAAATCAAAGTAAACAAGCAAAAACATTAACATATTTAGTACATTATGTATAAAGTAGAAGATATCAAGTCCCAGAGAAATGAAGTCATTTTAGTCAAAAATCTTCAAATCTTGAAATAATAACTGATTTATTTTTTAGTAATTTATAAGGTAGAAGCATAAATATGTGTTAGAAATTGATATTAGACTCCCTTAGATAATGTGAAATTAATATGTCAGTACCAGTATTCTATTTGTGGCAAATATTATTTTTCAAGTCATCAAGTACTTCTTGCTTTGTGATTTTGGTCCATGAATCTGGAATTGTTCCTGTATTTGTAAATTCTTTTCCATATTTCTCTTCTAGCTCTGATCTGAAGTGACAGACAAACCATTTCCAATATGGCTGGGTAGATGAGTCTGGGGTGATGCTCCACGTGGCAAAGTTACCTCCTGCTTCTCGGTATTTCTTGTATGGGAATTTCTGGAGGTCATTTAAAATAAATGAACGATCACTTGCTACTGAACTAGTACAGCAGTCAATAACAAAGTGGTCTGTTTTATATCTATGCCATCCATTGACAGCCTGAGGACGGTGGAACGGGACACTATGGTCTCCTTCATGTTGGGAAATGGTGTTGGTACAAATTGCTTTACAAAAAGGACACTGTTTCCAGCAGCCACAGAGATGTTCAGAGAGAAGTTTCTCAATGTCAGGAACCATTTCAGCTATGTTCTTATGTGAACAGTTCTCTTTTACTTTTCTTATTGCAGTATCCAAAGCTGTACTCATAGCTTCTTTGAGAAACTCAGTATCCTTTATCTCCTGGTGCTCAATGCTTATCAGGTCTCTTCTTGGAAAGATCAAGTTGCTCCCTAGGTGATCACAGAACAAATCCAACCAGGCAGAAGCAGTACTGCCTTTATCTTTAGCAACAGCTGTGGACTTATGAATGGCTGTGAAGATGGCATTCTTGATGTCACCTAAACTTATTTTTAAAAAGGTCATTACTTTTTCACTTCCTTTTTCAAAACAATATCTTCTAATGTGGTCACTAATGTAATCCCTGAAAAAGGATTCTGGATGATGAATGTATTGCCAATACTTATCAAAATTTTCTTCTTCAGCTAGAGAGTAGAGAATATGCTTCTCCAGGTTAGCCCTGTTTCCATTGAATGCAGGGCAGGTAGCTCTCATATCCCCAGCTATTTTAGGACCCATTTTATCCCATATGGTGTCGGAGATAGCAGGAGTGAGCTTTAGCCACAGGAAGTCAACAAAGGATGTGATGGAGGTGGCACCTTGGCAGGAGATCTTAAAACTCATGAAGAAATCATCTTTCTTTTTCTCAAGGTAGTTCACAGGATCATTTGCACTCTTGAATGCCTTGTGCATTTCCTTGAAACTCTTAGATGCTCTTTGGAATAACCATAAGGAAAAGTCAATGGTGTAGTCTCTGGTAAATGTGTAGTCTTCTTCAGGGGGTACAGATTTCAGTTCATTTTCTATTATCCTCAGGATCTCATGAAAATCATTCTGACTGTAATCACGCTTTTGAATCCAAATGTTCTTTAATGTTTCATTGACTCTTAAATTAATGTTAATAGTAGTCTTATTAATGGACTCTTTATGGCAGGTTTCTAAACTCTTTGGAAATATAATACATTTTTTTTTCATTTGGACATGTTTAGAATAATTGATTTCAAACATCTCTCCAGACTTTACTTTTAGTCTTTCAACAATGCTTTTCTCTTTCTTGAAATACTCCAGAAGAATATTTTCAGAATCCAAATCAATATTAGGCTCTTTGACAGGAGGTGCAGTCACAGACACATTGTCAATCCAATTTGTCCAAAGTTGATCAAATTTCTCATGCAACTCTTTATCACTTAATTCTTTACCCTTCACACTTAAAGCCAACTTTCGGCTCCTCTCTAATAATTCCTTTTCATATTGTGACTTTTGGTTATCTAGTCTTTCTTGGCTTTGTTTAAGACTTATGAGTTCATTGCCTTTCCATCTGATGTCTGAAATAAGAGCATCTTTAAGCATTTGTAGCTTTTGTTCAAAATTTGCTTTCCATTGAACCAATGTCTCACTATCTGGGTCTTCTTCAAAATATTTGTTAAAGTCTTGTTGGATGGTTTCATATTTGTTGTTAACTGGAGCTTCCAGTTCATTGGTTGTGAGTGTCAAGATTTTCCCATTCTGAATCAGATTGTTCAGCTGATTCTGTAAATCCAGCACGTGACTCCTCAGCTCCCAGGTCCACTTGTTATACATGGTTTCCAATTTACTCATGACTATGACTTCTTTGGTGTTTCTGAAACTGAAAATGAAGTTCTCACTGACAAGGGCTTTCCACAAATCTTGAACTCGGAATTTTACGTCTGAGATCTTCATGATCTTTCCCCTGGATTCCTCCTGGGCAATCCTAAGAATTCCAGTCTTCAACTCCTGGACATTGTGGCTATATTGAGGATTAGGGGGAGCCATTGGGGGATTGCCATCCCAGAGGTGAGCAAAGTAGTAGACATGACTACTAGCATCAAATTTAATTACATCACTGAAGCGAGTTATGTTGGAGCACTCCTCCTGTTCAGCAGCTAATGCTGTCATTTCATCCAGTCTCTGCTCCAGTCTCCTTCGTCCTTCCATAGTTTGGTCTTTTGCTGTAACTTCTCCTACATTCTGATGAACAAAGAGGCAACTGGGAGAGATTTTTACTTGTTTCATTCTCAGAAAGGCCTGGACGACTATTTGAAGAATATCTTGCATCTCTGATGGATTTTCCCCAAAAATATTGATCAGAGTCAAGTTTCCAAGACCAATGACAAATGTTGCCAACTCGTTGTCCTGATTCTGGGATTTGTTGTTGATCTCTGGAGCTCGAAGGCCTTCTGTGTCTACTGCTAGCATATAATCAAAGCCAAGTTCTTTTGTGAATTTCTCATCTACCTTCAGAAGCTGCATATAGGCCCCCCTGGTGCACCGACCAACACTGACTGAGAACTGTAGCCCAAACAGGGCATTCAGCAGCGTGGACTTCCCTGAACTCTGTAGTCCCAGGATAGAGAGAACAAACAGCCTTTTGTCTCCAAGTTTTTCTGAGATCTTGTCAAAAATTGCTGCCACCCATTTTAGGGGTACATAAGAAGCATCCCCATCCATGAGCTCAATGGGAACACCAGCTACCATCAGGTCTGCAGCAATCTCAGGGAAAGAGAGAAAACTTTTATCTATAGTGGAAGAAGTTTCTTCCAGAGCTTCGTAGATCTGGCCAACTTCTCGGAGAAGATGCTCAATTCCAAAAGTACAGTCATGAATCTCTGTGGAGATGGCTTCTATCTGATTCTGCAAGACTGTCAAGGAGTTGCTTTTATATTTCTTATGTTTTTCTGTTTGTACCATTGACCACAAAGACCTTTGTTTCTGCTGTAATTTTTCCAAATGTCCTTTGGTTAAGTTGTGTAAAAAAAAACTCAACCAGTGCAAGACGTAATGTTTAGATGGAGCTTCTTTGTGTTCTTGAAGGATTTTAAGGAAAGAACGCATTACACCATTGAGAGGAAGCGCTTTTTCTGATTGTTGATATCGTATTTTTTGTTTCTGAGTATCTATGTCACTTTTATGTTGTTCAATGCTCCGATTTCCCTTTTCTCTCAGATGATAGAGTTCTTTATCTTTCTTACACCAAGTATGCCAGAGTTGTCCCTGAAGAGGCAGTAAGTTTCCCTTTATCTTTGATAATGTCTGTTTTGCTAGTAGGGCCATTATAATCTCAGCCTTTTCTTTAGCTTCCTTGCAGTCTTTCTGGTCTTCATCAATCAGGAATCCTTGTCTTCGAGCCATCTGTGAACAGTCTTCTAAACTGAGTGAAGCATCAGAGAGTTCTAGCAAATGTTTGATGGCATTTGTGAGTTCCTCAGTTAATTCTGCCTCATTTCTATTCCTGATGCCAATTCTTACTCTTCTACCAGAATTATTGCCCAACACATTTTTTTTATCATCCAACAAGCAGATCAGAGGTGTTGATGACTGACACAAGTGTCTGACAAGATTTTGGTTTTCTTTATTGTCATCAGAAGCTGACATGAGGATCACAATGAGAGAAGAGACATCCTGTAGGAAGCTGAGTTGTTGTCTATGTTCCTTGGCATCTCCATGAAGATTGGTAAAAGTCACACACTTGTCAAATCTGTCCTCACCTTGGCCCCCAGGACAGAACCAGGAGATCTCTACCACTCCCTCCATCAGGAGACAGTGTTTGCTGCTTCCTCTGCAGTGTCTGTGAAAAAACACATCATGTTTCCGTTTACTGAGGAGAGAGTTCATGATCTGAGATTTGGAAGCAGAGAGGCCATTTCCAACTCTAATGAAGGACACAATTGGGGTAGAGACACAGCACATCTGCTGATTCCTGTGACTGTAGCTCTTGTCCTGTGGTGATTTACTTGACTCTTGCCAACTTCTCCTAATTTGTCTGAGAGACCAGAGAGAGAATTCCATCTGAGAAGTGTTGGGATTTGGCACCACAAGGGGGAGTGCAAATTGACAAATGGAAAGTTTGGACAAAATATACTGCCTGGCAAGATCATCTGCACAGTGAAAAATGGCCATCTGAATGTCCATTGGGTGAATGTGAGGCTGGGACATTTTGGCAGATGACTTCACAATATCTTCACTCTCTTCAAATAACTCTTCATATGGATCAAAAACATCATTATCCATATTACAGGAACTTCTAGAGACCTGGTATTCTGTTTTTCCATCATCTTTGAATATCAGTTGTCTCAACCTGCAATCCAGCATCAGTAGCTTTTGCAGGAAATAGAAAGGAAGTTCCTGTTCAGAGCTTGGCTGGAACTTGTGTACAGAGTTCTTGTAGATGTGGTGGAAGTTAGCTCTGCTCATCTTTTTTGGATAGTGATGATCTAGGCCTAGACGTTGGAGTAAGTGTATGAAAGATTCTTTGTCCATCACTCCCTTTTTATTGTTTTCAATACTTAGTTGTTTATAAGACCCTTTAATTTCATTACGGAGACTTTGCAATTTTTTTTTCACTCTGTCCATCTGCAAAGAAGCAGTGGTGGCTTCACAGTCCTCATGAATGAGTAATCTCAAATCATTTTCAAGTTTTTCCCAGTCATGATGTGCTCCATGTTTCATGAGGATGTTTGCAACTTCTTCAGACAACAATTGTCCTACATGTTGTCTTACTAATGCCAAACGTTGTCTTTTCTCACCTGTAGAAACATCTGTGGTTCCAACAGTGGCTCTCAGAGCTCGGAGGACCAGGAATGCCTGGGCTCTGTAACTACAAATATTTTTAAGTTCTTGGTATTTATGTTGGACAGTTTGTATTTCCTTCATGAAGAAGTTTATCTCAGTGCAACCCAGGAGAGGCTGAAAAACATTGCTTTCCAGCTGATAGCCTGCACCAGCTGCAATGGAGAGTAGTAGCAGCTGCATGTCTGGCTGCTCTGCTTCTTTGAGGAAATTCAAGAAGGAGCTCAGAGCTGTGGTGATGTTACATGTAGCCTTTCTTTGAGCTGCTTCCACTGTTTGCCAGGATTTATTTTTCATATTTACTCCTACTAGAGTTTTTTTTAATTTCCTTTAAGGCCTTAAGGAATTCAGAAAACGAGGTGATTTTGACTTTTTCTTCCTCTGACTCTGACTGGTAGACTGACTCCATGGTAGATGATGCCCATGGAAAGTTCGTCACTTTGTACACACGAGGTTCTACAAGTCTACACAGCTGAGCATTAATAAACTGAGTTACATAAGTGGCTGCTTCTTTGAGAAAGTTGATTGTGCTAAGTAGAAAATTCTGCAGTTGCCAATCTGTGGAAAACATATAAGCCCAAATGTCATAACTTCTAATTTTTTGACTCAATGCTGTCATGAAATCTATTAGTCTCTTAAGTTTCCCCTCATAATCAGAAACCTCTTGGAAATTCATATTTGTTTGAAAAAGTGTAATTTCTTGCCCAATATTGTAGAGATATTCTTCATCCTGGATTTGAGCAGCAAGGCCAGCCAGTGCAATGTAGCTGTCTTTCAGGCATTTAGCCACTTGAAAGGCCTCCTTAAAATCATTTCTGTGGCTGCTGAGGATGATGTCCCAAATAGGAACCAACTGAAGTCCCTGGTCAATGACAGACCAGGTTTTGTTGCTGGCAAGAAGGCCAGTTGTCCACTGGACAATTCCATTTGCTTCTGCTGGTCCGCCTATCTGGGCCACAGACAACTGGACTTTGATTTGGAGCTGTTGATTAGTTGCATTCTTGCAGGATCTTACGTAATGTGAGTGTGATGCTGTTGTCCTTTCAACAACTTCAATCCCAAAGCCACTGGAACTCCCTCTTATGTAACTATCCAAAGCTGCTGCTGTCTGCTGCTTCACATGATCCAGCTGGTCACTTTTGAAACCCTCTGAAATGGCCTTCCAGCAGTAGATTCCCCCAAGGTGCAGAGGTCCTTGATTAGCATGAGAGCCAAATCTGTTGAAGAATTTTTCAGTCCTGTTCCTCACTACAAGGAATTTGCCTGGTCCATCAGTATGTTCCAGCTGTTCTTCAATGATTTTCAGTTCCTTGAGAGCAGCAGTGGAGAGCTGAAGCTGATCAGCTCGAAAGTGGAAGGAGGCTAGAGGCACATAGCTGAACTTGGCTGAACAGAAATAAGAATGTTCTGAATTTGTTTGGTGGGTATCTTTAGATTCTGAGTGGTTGCTTTGAACTCTACCACCTTCTAGACTAAATCCCAAGTGTCCATCCTTGGCTGATATCATTGCTCCAAATCCCAGCTTCTCCACAGTTTTGGTGAACATGGATTCTGCTTGAGATGATGTGAATTCTTTTGCTTCCATCCTTTTTCCTTGCTCAGGTCCAAAGAGGAAGAATTCCTTGGGAACTCTCAGCAGTTCTTCTCTTCTTGCTACCAGGTCCTTCTGGTGGCAGGTCTTAAAAATTCCTTGCAGTGCCAGCCCTCCAGATGCCCATCTTACCAGGTCTCTATCAGAAAGGTTTCCCCTGTTGATCAGTTTCTGCTCCAAATCCTTTAGTTGTCTCTCCATTGTTTCAGTGACATCTTTCAGACGCACTTCAGGCCCTGGCCAGCACTCTTCTGGGATCTCCATTGCTTGTCTCAGCTCTGCTTCTTTCCTTCTCACTGCCTCTTCCTGTCTGTTCTTCCCTTCTGACTGCAAGGCCCTCAGTTCCTGCAGTGCCTGTCCTGCCTGCCTCTGCCTGTTCTTTATCATCTCCCCTGGAGTCTCCTGGAACTCTGCAACACTATTTGGCCATGAAAGCTCAAGCAGTTTCTTCAGAGCCTTTTTCTCCCATGAGTGTTGTGTCTGGGACTTCAGCTTCTGGAGGTCTCTTTCTTCTAAGTATTGTAAGGCCTGGGTACAGGTCACACCCAGGTCTTGCTGAAGTATAGGCAGCCAGTAGTCAACAGACAACCCCACTTCTGTCAGCATCTCCTGGAGATCTTGCTGTCTTCTCCCTCTGGGCTGAGATTTATCAGGAAAATTCTCTTCTGTGTTCATGGCTGTGTGAAGAACAGGCACTTTGTTAGTCTATGTCCTATCTTTTGATAGTGTTAGTTTCTTGGCTAATATAATGAGTGTCCCCAGTCTATAAGTCTGCAGGAACTTCTCATTTTTGCCTTTAACTGTGAAGTTTGTATTTTCATTAGTATCTTTGTCACATTTTCAACATGTGTACTAAATGTGGCTCATGTATCTAATTGTCATTGTGAAATGCAATGTAATAGACTGTATTATAGCACTTCCTCCTCCATAAACTCTAGGGTATGACAAGAATCAAATCAATGATTCAAATGCAAAAATATGTTAGTTGATTTTCATTTCTAAAACTAGACTTTTTCCTCAGTTCTTTAGCTTTTCTGTATTAGTTTCTGTGAAACTTGTATCTACTTGTTCCATTCCTAATTTTTGTCAGTTCATCTTAAATCATTCAATATTGATTTTGTCTCCCATGCTTCTAAAAGCACCTCTACCTTGGTTAATGCTTGTTTATTTGTGATTCTCATTTTGCTCTTTGACATATTATCTTTCTACTAATTGTACAGCTTCCATTGCAGGGGTGCCAGACATATTTGTATAGATATATTCTATCCACTATTTTCTCCAATTCATTTTTTCCAGTGTACACACACACACACACACACACACACACACCCTCAGGCCATTTAACTATAAGACAAATGAGGTTGTACATGCTTCAATTGCACATGTTACTTATGCTTTTAATTTTCTATAATTTCTGTCCTATTCAGAGGCACCTTCATATTTATCTGTGTTCTACTTAATTTAGTACCCCATGGCTTACAAATGACTTCTCTAATCTCCCTTTAATATTGTTTTCTTTTCAGCACTGTGAGGTCTTTCTTACATTTTGCCTTCATATGCATTTATTGGCTATAACAGGCATTATATCTGTTGTTTCTTCCTTCTCTACTCTTTAAGATTCATTTTGAAATCAATTATAATTCATTATTATTAGGGTGTCTATGTCGTACCTTGTAAAACTGCTTTACCCATATATTGCCCCTATAAGTACTGCCAGTGTTGAGGCATTTGGAAATATTAAGGAGAGAAAGACCAGACAGAGAGTCTTCTACCAGTGTTTCCCAATTCTCATGTCCATAAGAAAATAACTCAGAAATGGAACAAACACTGAGTACCAAGCAAAGGAGGATTTGTTCTCAAAGTTACATAGTGGAGAGTGACTGGAAGTTTCTTAAGTAGGAGTTAAATTGTACAGGCTTTTCATTGTGTGCTTCTTATCAACTACAGAGGATAGTGAATTAGGTTACTACATATTTGATTATATGTTATTTTGTGTAGGGTGATATAACAAAACCATTCAATTTATTTGTCATATCAAAATGTAGATAAGAATGTTAGACATGTTTTTGGTTTAGTTTCCTTATAAGACCCAGTTTTGTGATTATTAATCTCATGCCTAGTGATTGTATTCTTTAAATTCTAATTTTCTCTCTTACTCCTCTCTGCTCACCAATAACCTTATCTCAAAAGTTGAGATTAACATCATTATCAAATGATGAGTTCAACTGCTTTTTGCCTTTTTGTCCTTCTGCCTGTGTGTAATGAAGACACAAGAAGGCTCATTCTAGGTGCCTGTGCACTGATCTTACATTTCCTAGTATCCAGAACTATAAGCCCTAAATTCTGTTTATTGTAAATTTTTATTCTCAGCTAGTCTGTTATAGAACTGAGTGAAGAAGACAGAAACTGATGAGCGGAGCATAAGTGTTATGCTAAACACCTGGGGAGCTGAAGTGTTATGATAAACACCTGATGAGGTGGAAGCAGCATGACAAATAAGTATTGGAGAGAATTTGGAAGAACAGAGGGGATCAAGCCTACATTACAACAATTAGAGTGCTGTGGGCAGTTTTGGTGAGGACCCTGACTAAGAGAAGAACTATCTATAACTTTTGGAAGATGAATTGACTTGTCATGGTTCACATATTGGTAGATATATATGTGCTGTATGCAGCCTTGTGAAATCTCAGGTTGAAATGAAGAATGAGGGTTTGGAAGCCAGAAGTAAGGTCAATCTTAAGATGCGGCATTAGTGTCACTCAATTGACAGTATAGAAGAACAGGACAAAGATCATACAAAAAGGATCATATATAGTCAGCAATGAGCTCAGCATTGGAGCACATGCTTAACATGGGAGAGGGTCCAGGTTTAATTCCCATAAAAAACAAAAAAATGAAAAAAATATGAGATTATCTCAATTTACCTATATGTTTTCTATTTATCAATGATGAGTAAACTTTCAAAAACAGAAACACTTGGCTTAGTTTACATCAGTGAATTATGTGAAGTATGTAAGAAATTATGATACCAAATTTAAAATAATTTTTTCTAAAAATAAAAACATATAACTCCTAATTGATTTTCTCAGGCCATCATTACCTGACTTCCAAATCCTGACTGAGACATTAAATAAACAAATATCTCTTTTCTGTCAGAAGCAATTATTATATGAAATTCAACAGTAAATAATAGAATTTTCACCATGGCCAACTGGGATTTATCTAGATGTGGCAAATTGGCTTAACAGGTAAAGAACAATGAACACACATCATATCAGTACACTAAAGAAGAAAAATCACATGATTATATCCATCAGACAAAAAGGCATTTTTTATCAGTTACAACACTCACTCATGATTTTAAAATCTCAGCATACAGGAAAAGAGGGAAAATGTTTCAATTTAATAAAAAGCATATCCAAAAAACAGAGCTCATATTATATTTAATATTGAGAAACCAGATGCTTTTTGTTAAGATCAGGAACAAAGCAAGGATCCAACTTCTCATCACTCTTATTCAATAGCCAACCTAGAGTACTAGATAATAAACAAGGTAAGAAAAGCAAATACAATGTGTATACAGGAAAGTAATAACTAAAAAATAAACTACCTTTATTCACAGATAATATGACTTAATATGTAGGAAATCCTGAAGAGTGAACAATAAAACCTACCTTTAACTAACCTGAATCTAAAATAATCTCCTATTATAAGGTTAAAATTAAAAAAAAAAAATTGTTCTTTGTATGTCAACAAAGAATAAGTTAGTGGTATTTCAAATTAAAAACACATTACTATTTACATGAATACCAACAAAAACAGTTAAATGTAAACATAACAAAATATGTACAGTCTAATTTAAAGAAGACTAAAATTTTGATAGATCAAAGAGTATGTAAATTTATGAAACCATACTCCTTAATTTATGCTCTTAAAATTCCAATTGCCCTATGGTTCCCTAGATGAAAAGAATCAACAGAATGTACAAACAACTAAATAATAAAACTAGATTTATTACTTTGTGGTGATATTTTATTTACACTCTAACAAATAAAGCTTACCTAAAAATCAGAGGGCAGAACCAGTCGCTAGTTAATCATAGCGGCCAGGCAGTGGTGGCACACACATCTTTACTGTGGATGATTGATGGATAAATAAAACACTGATTGGCCAGTAGCCAGGCAGGAAGTATAGGCGAGACTAGCAGAGAGGAGAATTGAGAGAACAGGGAGGCAGAGAGGAGGAGACATCAGCCTGCCCTCCAGGGAGCATCATGTAAAGGCAGCAGGTAAAGCCACGGAACACGTGGTGACATATAGGTTAACAGAAATGGGCTGAGTATAAGAGTAAGAGCTGGACAATGGTAGGCCTGAGCTAATGGCTGAGCAGTTTAAATAATATAAGTGTCTGTATGTTTATTTTGTAAGTGGGCTACAGGACTGCCGGGGCTTGGCACGATCCGAAGAGAAAAACTCTAGCTGCACATCTTTTTTTTATTTTATTTTTTTTTATTAAGAAATTTTCTACTCACTCTACATACCACCCACAGATCACAGATCCTACCTCTTCCCTCCTCCCATCTCCCAGCTTTCCCTCCCAAGCCATCCCACATCCCCACATCCCCCAAATCAAGGTCTCCCATGGGGAGTCAGCAGAGCCCAGCACACTGAGCCTAGGCAGATCCAAGGCCCTTCCCACTGTACTAAGGCTGCACAAGGTGCCATGCGACAGGCACCAGATTCCCAAAAGCCTGCACATGCACCAGGGATGGATCCCATCCCCCTGCCTGGGTTTCCCCTAACAGTTCGAGCCAAACAACCAACTTCCATGTCCAGAGGGCCTAGTCCAGTCCCGTGGGGGCTTCACAGCCACTAGTCTACAGTTCATGGGCCTCCAATAGTGTAGCCGGACATCTCTGCACTTCTTCCCTTCATGATCTCAACGTTCCCTGCCTGCAGAATCCCTCCTCTCTCTCATCAATTGGATTCCCAGAGCACAACCTGGCGCCTGGCCGTGGATCTCTGCATCTGTCTCCATCAGTCACTGGACAAAGGCTCTATGGTGATAGTTAGGGTATTCGCTACACTGGTCACCAGAGCAGACCAGTCTAGGAACCCTCTGGACCATTGCCAGCAGTCCAAAGTAGTGTCATCCATGTGGATTCCTGAGAGCCTTCCCAGCACCTTGCCTTTTCCTTTTCCCATGATGTCCTCATTTATCATGGTATCTCCCTCCCTGCCCTCCCACTTTGTCCCTGTTCCAGCTTGACCCTCCCATTTCCCTATGTTCTCTTTCCCCATCCTCACCCTCTGCCACCACCACCCCACATCCAGTCTGCTCATGTAGATCTCATTCACTTCTCCTTCTGGGACATCCATGTGTTCCTCCTAGGGTCTTTCCCTGTTAGCTAGCCTCTACTCAGCAGTAAAAAACAATAATATCAAGAAATTTGCAGTCAAATGGATGGAACTAGAAAATATCATCCTGAGTGAGGTAACCCAGACTCAGAAGGACAAACATAGTAAGTACTCATTCATAAGTGTACCAAATGTGAAGGAAGGGATGGCCAGATGGCACACATATCTTTAATCCCAGCACTTGGGAGGAGAAAGCAGGAAGACAAGAAGTTCAAGGCCACCACCCTGGGCTACATGAGATTGAATCTGTCTAAAAGAAAAGCAGAGCCAGGTAGTGGTCATGGCTCACACCTTTAATGCCAGCACTAGGGAGGTGGAGGCAGGAATATAGGGAAAGTGGAGATAGGATCTCAGCCATTCAGTCTGAGGATTTGTAGAGATAGGAGCTTACCCTCTTTTGACCTGAGGATTTGGTTGTGAAAAGAAGTCTCTCTAGTAGCTTGTTCCTTTGTCTCTCTGATCTTCCAGTATGTACCCTGATATCTGGCTCTGGGTTTTTATTATTAGATCAAATAGGATTCATGCAACATTACATTGGCTCATGTGGTATGAATAGGGTAGTTGGACAATGCTCAACTACATGCTACAGAGGCTGAGAACTATTTCCCAATCCAGGAAGGATGCCTTTGCACTCTCAAACTAATGCTGAAAGCCTTGGAGAGTTGCTGGAATTGAGTCCATTTGAATATCTGAAGAGCTGGACTCTAACGTCAGCATGTGGCAACAGCTATAGAAGCAATTACTGTTAAAAGTAAGACTTAGCCCGGCGGTGGAGGCACACACCTTTAATCCCAGCACTTGGGAGGCAGAGGCAGGCGGATCTCTGTGAGTTCGAGGCCAGCCTGGGCTACCAAGTGAGTTCCAGGAAAGGCGCAAAGCTACACAGAGAAACTCTGCTGTGGGATGGTCTGTATGTCAAATTGTTCTGATTGATCAATAAAAAAAACACTGATTGGCCAGTGGCCAGGCAGGAAGTAGGTGGCCAGGCAGGAAATAGGTGGGACAAGGAGAGAGGAGAATTCTGGGAAGCAGAAGGCTGAGGCAGAGGGAAACTGCCAGCTGCCACCATGACAAGCCGCATGTGAAGACACTGGTAAGCCACAAGCCACGTGGCAGGGTGTAGATTTATGGAAATGGATTAATTTAAGCTCTAAGAACAGTTAGCAAGAAGCCTGCCATGGCCATACAGTTTGTATGCAATATAAGTCTCTGTGTTTACTTGGTTGGGTCTGAGCGGCTGTGGGACTGGCGGGTGACAAAGATTTGCTCTGACTGTGGACAAGGCAGGAAAACTCTAGCTACAAAACCCTGTCTCGAAAAAACAAACAAACAAACAAAAAAAAAAAACAAAAAGTAAGACTTGACACCCTGTGTGTTGCCTTCATCCTACTTCATTGGAGCAGTCTACCCCATTGATAATCTCATCCTTATTCAGGGCAGGTGCTTCCTCATTATTCACTGCCTGACATGTCAACCCTATCTGAAAAAGTCTTCATAGCCATACAGATGCATTGCACAAGTTCTAGGTATCTTCTACTTAGTTATGTTGTCTCTTCAGATCAACTATCACACTAGCTCTTTACAGCTTGATCATTATAGATTCACTATAATCTTAACAAAACTCCCACCAAATTACTTTCTGAATAATAAACTAAAATTTATATAAAAGAACAAAAGGTACAGAACAACCAGTATACAATATTAAAGGAGAAAAATACAATACTGACATCTTAATGCAAAAAGATACATCAGCCGGGCAGTGGTGGTGCACGTCTTTAATCCCAGCACTCGGGAGGCATAGCCAGGCGGATCTCTGTGAGTTCGAGGCCAGCCTGGTCTACAGAGCATGATCCAGAACAGGCACCAAAACTACACAGAGAAACCCTGTCTCGGGGAAAAAAAAAAAAGAAAGAAAGAAAGAAAGAAAAGAAAAGATACATCAATCAATGGCACATTGCATTGATGGAGACTTTCAAAAAATCAATGGAAAACAATGGAATCCAAATGTATAAGATGTAAATAGAATTAAGTAACCTTAGACAAAGGAGCAAACACATTGTCACAGAGGAAGATAGTTTTTTCCAGCATATGGCCCTGGAAATGTCCATATCCATATCCATATGTATTTAAAAAATCTTGATGTATACCTACTTCTTTAAGCAATGAACTCAAAGAAGAACATGGAATCAAAAAAGTCACAGATGGGCTGGGCGGTGATGGCGCACGCCTTTAATCCCAGCACTAGGGAGGCAGAGCCAGGCGGATCTCTGTGAGTTCGAGGCCAGTCTGGGCTGCCAAGTGAGTTCCAGGAAAGGCGCAAAGCTACACAGAGAAACCCTGTCTCGAAAAACCGAAAAAAAAAAAAAAAAAAGTCACAGATGACATCTATACATCTACTACTAAATCTAATACATCTATACTCCTTAGGTACTCTTAATATCTATAAACCCAAGAAAGTGGTATTTTAAAGTACTTCATAAATTACTAAAATGGCTTAAGTACAACCTTAGCTGATATCTTATGCCCTGAAGCAAGATTTTAAAGAACTAATAAACATCTAAAATACTTTATTTCAGGTATAGTTCATTTAGAAAAATACTCCTTAATTCATAAAATAATTTTCATTAACCTATCAACTTAAGGCTACATAAATCTCAATATTCTAAGCATGTTCATAAAAATTAATAAGTTAAATTTTATTTTTTAAAATAGTCAAGGATAATAAACCCCAAAAACAATAAAATGCTTTATGTTAATCAAATATCTTTGATATGCATATAAATAGTTTGATTAAATTAATTGGCATGGATTTATTTTACAAAAATAATCCCTATGTACAAATAATAAATTTAAATTTTTCATCAAGGTTGTGATACATACAAAAATGATAAATACACCTACATAAACATTTGTCAAAAATGTTTATTCTACTTTTCCTTTTTTATAATTGAAATTTTAGAAGAGACAACCCCATATCAGTAACATTGATAATGTAGGTAAGCTTACTTCATACACTTCTTTTAAAAAGTTATTCATTTAATCATGCTATTATATTATATATAATATTATATAATATATTACATCTTAACAATAATTGCGTTGTTAACATGTAAAAACTATTTGCTACATTCCTGTGCTCTCCCCTCTTAAAAGAAACTAAGCAAAACAGCTTTCTCTGCAAGTTTCCTTTCTTGGCTAATTTAGGACCATAAAGACAAAAGGATAAAAAGAAAAAGTTTCCAGGATTGCTAACAGGTTTTGCTTGAATTTCAAATACAGCTTCCCGTGCATCCATTTGAAATACATATCTTGTTAAGAAGCAAGAGTTTTCTAAATTCTGTCTGCTCAAATATATGTAGCACTCTAAGGAATATCAAGTAAAAAGAAAGATATAAAGTGTTATGAATGCAAAACATATTTTGGTAATAAGATTATTTTAGATGATAGATGATTTGATTTGTATATTTTATTTTAAGGTAAAAATTTGTTCTAAATTAAAAATAAAAAGAGGCAGAATAAAACTGAAAGTTAGCATGTATCATAAAGTGGTTTATAAAAGTTAAAACTTAAAAATAGTACATTGAGTCAGTGAGATGGCTCAGTAGATAAAGGCAAGCAAGGGCATGAGTTTGACCCACAGAACTCACATGCCAGGAGAAATTGACTTTCACCAAGTTATTCACTGAACTTCCACATGTATGCTGTGGCACACATATCCCCAATACACACACACACTTAAGTAAATATGAAAGTATTATTGATTTATAAATGCTTGCTTAAAGAGAAAGGATTTTTATGTTTTATCAGAATAACTATGGTTTCTAATAAAGAAACTAAGTCTGAAAAGAATAAAGAATTGCTTAAAATTAATGTTAATTTTATCTATCTTAATGTTATACAAATAACTTTATTCATTCTCCAATACTGTTGTAATAGACAAGTCTCGGTGTTCAATAATCATAGCTAGAAGCCCAAATCAATGAGGATACAGAGACCAAAAGGTAAATCAATATATTGGCTCTTGCTCCCAGGTCAACAAATTACAATGGAGCAGGACAGGAGGCACCTCTAAGAGTGTCTTATAGCCCCTGTAAATCAGCTGACTTCCTGATCATAGAGGACAAAGAGAGATATCTCCATGATTGGACTGTAACCAGTGCACGATACACATGATAAGGACCATCACAGAAAAAAAATTTTCAGTGCTTTCAGGGAAAGCCATGGTTAATGTACCCTGATACATCCCAACAAACGACACAACTTGTAAAGAGAAATTAAAAGAGCCAACAAAAGAAGGCTGAGGGGAGGCAGATTTTAGCTCCCAGCTTTCTCAGTACAGCACTGTTTAAAGATTCAATTTCTGTTTTGTTGTTAATTCTTGGAGGTGTCATAGACCAAAGTCTGATTTTGCTATGAGCCTTAGGTTTTGGGAACATGGCAATGTTAAATTCCTGTCTGAGGCTTTAGCATGTCACAATCCCTGTGTGTCTCTAATTTTCATCATTATTCATTCTACACTAGTTTCTGTGTCTATTGTACTTATCTGTCTACCCAATGCCCCCTTTTCACTTACTTGTCTCCTGAAAGCCCAGTACCTGTCTTCAGGTTGTTGCTCCAGAGAGAAGTAAGAGGAGATTATGCCCCTTGCTCAAGGCTGCCAGGCTGCTGACTATCAGCTGAGGCTCAGATAGGGTTCTATGAGGGCTGGGGCTGAATTCTCCCTAAGGACCAGGCACCTCCCTTTTCCTTCCTGTTCACTGATGTTTTGTTCCTTTCTGCTTCTGTTTTCACTTTCATCATGAGAATCAGGGTCCCTTGTGTAAATTCTTGTAATAGAAAAACCCAGTAATGGTCTGAGGAAGAAATTTAAAGAAAGATTTATTGGAGTTTTAGAGAAAAAAAGAAGGCATCCCAGGTGTCAATCTTAGTAACTACCAAGAGGAGGAGGTGGGTAAGAGGAAGAGAGTCATATTTTCAGAATCAGAGCTTAAGAAAATTAAAAAAAAAAAAAAAAAGCAGGCAGCCTCAGCAATGATGTTAACAGGCTTGTAGTTACATCCTGTGCCCCAACAAGCCAGGTTCTGCCACCCATCCTTGGTAAGCCAAAAGAGCCAAATTAACAGCAAAAAGCAGGAAAAGGTTTCATTCAATGTGGGCACATAGGGAAGAAGCATAAAGAGATTCAGAGATATTTCAACCTCCCTTATGTTTGCCCCTATGATTGTCTTTGTGGTCTTTAACGGAAGTAAGTTTTCAAAAAATAAAAAATAAAAAAAGAGATACATAATTAAGCAGTCTGGCCAAGGTAGGGCCCTGTGCCCACCACTGTCTCGGCTCTGGTTTCTCCTGTAAGGTTACCTGCAAGGCAAGCCACTGGGCACAATTTAAACTGTTAAGACCTACCCTAGGCAAGGCCAACAGCCTTTGGTTGGCAGCCCACATCAAAAGACATGGGAGAAGGAAAGTTTGGCTTTCTGCTGCCTGCCTTCATTCTTGCTGGAAGTTTGTCTGTTCTGTTACTCTCACTGTGCCATTACTTTCCTGATATTAGAACCAGCTTCTTCAATTTTCTAACACAAACTGAACGCCAGCAAGCCTCCAGGCCCCAAGCACCATATTGGGTCTGTTGAGACATTCATTCTTATGGACTGACATACTTACTCAGCCTTTCTGGTCTGAGATAGCCATTATTGGACGAGCCTGACTGTATCATGTAAACCACCCTTTAATATGTATTCATTCTATTGGTTCTGTTCCTCTACAGAATCCTGACTAAATATAAACTTGACAACTTATACATCTTTCTCTGAAAGACAGCCTCTGATTCTGCCTGCAAGTTCTTTGTCAGGAGCACACCATGCCAGAAACAGACAAACACATTTGTATCTTTCCATAGTATCAGGATTTATTAAATAACAGAAATTTATAAGGTTCCCCAGTTTCAGTAACTGCAATTTTCCAGATAACCCCACCTATTTTGGTAATCTGATAGTGGCAAAATGCAGATTATTTTGTCTTAATTTTAACTACTAAATATTAACTCTCATATCACACATCACACAGCACAAAATAAATGTTCTTTCATGTATACAGTTTACATAATGAGGTTATGTTAAAGAGGTTATAGTAGTGTTCAAGAGGTTTGAGAAATGGACTGAGAAATACAAGTAGAGTCTGTATTGATAAGATAAGGAACCCAAAATTAGCCACGGGGAAGTAGACATGGTCCAGAGCCAAGCTTCTGGGTGGAAGTCTAGCTGCAAGGGGATAGGAGCAGGAAATGGTGTGTTCAGGTCCATCAGGTGAGCATGTGACTGGGCCACACCAACAGCAGGGAGTCAAGCCAAGCTCAATCCCCAGGGAGAGTCAGAAATTCTCCGCCTGTTGGTCTCTGGTGCACATAGCAGTTGTTAGATGACAGATTGGTTTGGAACCACTACCATCACACTGGGTTTCTGCTCTTTATGGTGAAGGAGGTGTGCCTTTTTCTTTGTTTGGCAAGTTTTGGACCTGTTTTCCGCAATAAGAATTTAATACAAATATGTGCCCATGTTACAGTAAAGAAGGACATCTACTCATCGGTGAAAACATGTCAGTGTTGGCTCATTTAACCACTGGCACTAGTTAATCACCTGGCCAATGGACCCTTCCCTCATCCCAGTAAAAGTGGAGCCACCTTAAGTCATGCTAGAGATAAGTAGAATAATTCTCCCTTAATGAGACAATGTTCTTTTCCTTTCCAGAATTCCTGTGTCTAGTGCAGTAGCTTACAGAGGCAAGACTATACAGTTTCCTAAGTCTGTCCCTTTTACTGAATTACTCAGAAAAGTGTAAATCTCCCTTTGCTTCTTTCTGTCTTTTTTGCAACCATGCTTTCCCTGACACTTTTAATTTACCACATTTTCTAAAGCTGTCCTTCAAGCCATATGACTGCTTATCTACCACGTGGCTGACCTCCATGCAGCATAATTATATGGTTCCAAGCTTTTTATCTCTGCTCCATGATTTACAGCTTGCCTACCCTGAGGTTTCTCTTTTCAGTTCAAATAAAATTGTAATTGAGCCTCCTTTTGAGTTCATTTTTAAATTATTCTATTAATAAGACAAAGAATCCCAAGAGGGTACCCCAACTTCACTGTTAATAGCTACAGTTTCAGTTCACCCTGATAAATCTACAGGGTGACGCCCTTCCCACTGTCAGAAAACAGTCACTTCTCAGTCTGTGTTTTGTGGGTGGTGCTCGTTTAATGAGAAAAAAAAATGTAGATATGAGGGAGAAAACAGACAGAGGCATTTGGAAGTGTCCAGACTGAACTGGGCCATAGTTAGGGGTGGGAAAGAAAGGAAGAGAAGAGAGAGGGAGCAAAGAGAGCATCTGTGAACCTAGAGAACAAGAGGCAGAAAGACTCGTGTCCGAAATGGCTGAGGTTATTCAGGGAGGGGAAGCTGGGGAAGGAGAACAGAAGCCCAGATCAGGGGTTGGAGAGGTTCAGGATGGGGGCAGGGACTGAGAAGAACTGAGAAAAGCCAGAACTCAGCAAGAGTTAGTTGTGATCCTGGGGATTGCTGTGAGAACCTGGCAGGCATGTCTGCTTTGATATGTTAAACAGGCACCCCAGGTAGCCATTTGTTCTGAGTTTGAAACCTTATACTAGTGATAAGGTATTGTTTACCTGTCCTTCCAGTAGTGCAAGCGCCTCCCATTATCAAAGTGAAATCCAAAGTTGCTTGTAAAATGGTCTCTTTCAGGACAAGGCACAGCATGAAAAACCCATGCTGTAGTTCATTCATTTGCATATATATGCAAAGATATATACATATATATATGCTTTTTCTATTTACTGTTCCCATATAATTCCGGTAAACAAGTGAACCTTGAATGAATAAAGGTTCTCTTCCCATGTTGTTTCCCTTTCTGAATGATTTATCCTTTTGCTTTCTTGCTTAGTCCTTCTGTGCTTTTGTAGATACATGCTGTGATCCAAGAAGAGTTAGGATCTGTCTTATACACCTGAGATTTCAGAGAGTGAGACAACACTCTCTGGGGACCACAGTATTGTGCTTTATGAAGTAGAGAAAGACTTCTTTCCACAGTACAGCTCTGCTGTTGTAAAACAAACAAACAAACCCAACTAAACTAACAACAAAACAAATGCTCTTACCTCAATGTATTGTGTAGCTAAACATGAGTGACCATGGCCCAGGGATGACTCAGTTTGTTTCAAATATTATGTTCCAATACAGTAGCAGTTCAATGAAGTTTTTCATAGTCACAGAACAATGAAAATCATGAATCAATTCACTCTTCAACACAGTGGCAGAAACATGAGTGAGGCAGGCTACTACATCAAAGAGAAGAAATCTCTGCTTAGGGCCTCAGATCCTATCTGTCGACATTTTTATAACCTTTGAGTTGGTAAAATCTAGATGTTTGCTTGCAGTTTCTGAAATATTTATCTCATAGTTACAAGATTGTTAGGTCAAATACAGAAGTGGACACAAATGACTATTTAGGGGCTAAGATAGCCCAAGATATCTTAATATATAGCATTCCAACTCTCCAAAGTAATTGGAGTTCTAATCAGTTAGTCATGGAGAACACTTAATATAGGTTCAGCCTTCCACCACCCTGCCTTCCACTGGAAACTTCAGTTAACATTTCCTCTTATCGTTTAAGCCACCGTGCCCTGCAACTGAACAGAGACATTCAGTTTCATTTCTCAGTTAAAGCCTATTTCTTAGAAATGTTTATTTATAACCACAAGTGAATGTAGTGTTGTTGTTCAGCTTGATGTCTCTTGATTAACCAACTTTGGTTTTTTGTTTTTTGGAAAGCTATTTTTTCCATGCTTTCCTGTTTCTTTCATTTTTTTTTTCTTTTGCTATCACTTCCCAAATTTATACTCCATTTGAAACTTTGAAGTAAGAAGACTTGGTAGCACAGTCCATTGTCTGTTATATTTAGAGCATTGTGGAAGTTTACCCAGTCTTCAACACTGTTGTTCATGGATACTGGCATGTTATGTGTAGTACAGCCAGCATGAAAGGAAAAAGTACTTTCCTTCATCTATCCCAGGGTGGGCTAGGTCCCAAAGACCACTTTAGATGACAGCTGTGCAAATAGACAGACCAAATGCTGGTAAGAAGCAAAGAGCCATAGCCTCTGGTGACAGCCAAGTACCTTCCTTGTGTTAATTCCACTGGTTGAAAATAAGACCACTACCATAATTTAAAGCCAGATTTGAAGCCAGCTTTAATCAAATACCAGCCAGGTGGATGGGCTCTGGCCAGGTCCATACCCAGTTTCCCAGGAAATGGCCCCAAATCAAGTTTTGCAGTGACATAAATATTTCCCATCAACTCTAATCACGGGCAAGCATATATCCTGATGTACACCAGCTTACATCCAATCAGGAGCAAGCATACATCCTGGCGTATTTCCTGCCTGTGAACCTGCAGCCCACATGTGATCAAGCATATCAAGTACAGATGGGTCAAACAAGCTTGTTTAGGGGAGTGAAAATACGTGACTTGTTATCTCCCGTAAACAATAGCCTTCAGCATTTCAGGAACTATCTGTTCTGGGGCTAGAAGATCAGATAAATTTTTGTTCCTATGGATCTCTTAAGCATAGTAATTGAAGCTTAAAATGTAACTTTGGCTCTCACACTTGCTCCCAGTT